CTCCCCCTCCCCCGTACTCTGCCACCACCCCTCTTCCGTGCTTCCAATGAATTGGAGTTTCTCGTGGGTTTCGAAATCAGCGGGCGAGTCGACCGGAGGGACGGAGCGATAGACGGGAAGAGGAGGGAAAAAAATGAAAAAGAGAGAGAAGATCGAGGGACACGAGGCGTGCGGAAGCGAGACATCCTCTTTGAGTACAATACGCACAAGGAGTCTCGGAATAATACATCGAATCGGGACGAAATGCCTTTTCACGAGTTCTTTTGAGCTTTCAAAGCTCGGAACAATATCTGACTTGAGATTGGGGTCTCGTGGTGTCCCTCGGGTAAGGAGTGTTATCTACGTTCCCTCAAGCCCGAAACGGAGCTCCATCCGACCTAACCAGCTCTGCAACCCTATAGCCAGCCCACAGCCCACAGCCCACGCAAACCATGCTGTAGCACATCGCAGCCCCTACTCTCTCTCCTACCACTGTGCCCTTCCTGGCCCCGATCAGCCGCCTGTCGAACGGCTGCCTTTTCGACTCCGGCGTTGGCCCCAACCACCGCCGAGCACTCGCTCCCATTTTAATCACTACTTCTGATAGCCTTGCCGATTGGATGAGGGACCTTTCGGTACACCCAGTGTACCGTTTCACCCTTGAATCACGAGCTTCCTTCTTAGTTGGCTTCGTTCTCTGGAGCATCCCATCGTTTCTCCTCTTCTCGATCCTTCGTCGGCACCTATGCACACGTGCCTTTGACGCTTGCTTGAAAGCTCACTCCGGTGAATTAGCACGTTTCATACTGTCACGTACGGCCCTGGCTCTTCCATATTGATGCCATTTGAATGTAAAGCAACCCCAGAGAGCGAACCTTGCCGCGTGCTATTACGACATCGTTGACGACTATTCAAGCTACTAATTATTAGCGGACTTTAAGGAGCGCAATTAAAATTTCGCTCTGCGTGCCTTTACAATCGGCAGGAATTCCAACGGGCGATTTATCTTTTGTTTCTTTAACGAGTTCAGGATAAGAGGGTCGAAGATGCTGACGTTAAGAGAAATATCGAGATCACAAATCAATACGCTTTCCTTGTCAGCAGCTCTCATATTTAATAATTTTCCTACGAGATACAATGCGACGGCGACGAAGAGAAAGAAAAACTCATATTAAAATGCGAGGAGGGATTGAAGAGCGGGCAATATCAAAGGACGGATGATGAAAGGACGAAGAAGGCGAACCGGGAGTGGATGGACCAGCCGCGACATCCGGTACCGAACCTTCGCGAGACTTGCAAGACGACGCAGCATCCTCGGATGCAGCCCGAGTTATGCCGAGCATCTTGGCAAGAGGGTGCGCTGCGTTCCCGGCTTCACCGCGACCATTAATAAAAGAGATGCAAGAGAACCGAAGGATCCCTGGGTGATTGTCTCCGGGTGATCAGGGATATTGGAGGTTATGATCTGTGCTAGGATATTTGACAGTTTTCATCTCGAACGGATATGCGTCCTCCTCGCGGCCTTCGCTCGCTCCGTGTGGAATGCGTCCCCCACCGCCCCCCACTGCCCCCACTGCCCCACTACCCTTTCAAGATGACCAGCAGAGCTCTGCATAGCCCCAAGAGGGACTACTGGATAAAGTATAGAGAAAGGATAAATAGAAAATTGAAAAGGTCGATCCTTTCCCTGAAATAGCAGTCATCGATTATTGCTACCAAAGTGGAGGCTCCCTGCGGTGATCTTGATGTCGATGTCCAACGCACTCGACGTGTTAAATAATATATATGTATACACTTGAATGAGATAGGGGTCCAGTCGGCCATTTTCGTTTTTCGCGTCCAACTTTGCCTCGTAGTCTCGGCGATAGCTTCTCGATGCGTCATATTTTTCTTCCTCCTCGCTAGCGGGGAATTGCACAAGAATTGATCGATCGCTCGGAGATCCTCTCTTTCTTGCGAGCTTTTTTCTCCTCTTCATTTTTCCTCCTTTTTTCCTTTTAATCCCACCTTCGAAATTCTCCTGCTCGATCGAATGCAGGAGGAAGAAGAAGGGCTAGGCTAGGGCCCTGAACGATTAAAGCTGATTGTGAGCTGCAGGTGGAGGTTATCGAGCCATTGGGATTCGCGCTGCTTTACGAGGATTAATGACGAGTACTGGGGCTTCGAGGTAACGAGAACGCGACAGGATTCAGGTTTATTATAGCTGTCATTGTTTTTAATACTACAAGCGAGAGAGAGAGAGACGGCGCCGATTCGATGCTTCTCTATCGTTCCTGGCGTTGATCAATCGAAATCTCGTAGATGTCGATGTGTCCTCGATACCTGCGAAAGCCGCACCTGCTAGGGCCGCGATACAATTCCAATATCTGATATCACGTTTTAATTAACTTAGTTCGCGAAGCGAACTCGCC